TTAAAATGATGGTTGAGTGATGACTGTAGATCATTTATGGGACATGTGAATTTCTGTTGCTCCTCGTAAATCTGAAATGAAATCAAGCCCCGAGGCAAGCATGAGTGTGAATGCAGGGAAAATTTTGTTTTTCTTATATGTGACAGAAATGCATCACAAAGGCTTTTTCAATATCGCAGTTTTTAATGAACTGGGTTTTGAAGCTGTCTTTTTTTCTTCTCCTAGAAGGTAGATGAGATCCTTTCGGAATAAGTATGTGCATACTCTTAGATTTAGCTTCAAATCAGATGGTTTGTGTTTATTTTTACTGGAAGGAGAGACTTGGGTGATGGGGGCAGAAGCCTTAAGGGGTTGGGGTTTTGAGGATTATTTACAGTGCTTCAGCATCCTCAAGGGCAGCCTTAATCTTCTCGGGTCAGCATGCAGCGTACCCTGACTAGAAAGGAAAATTTTGTTTGAATTTTGACATGTTTGAGAAAGAGTTGCTTGGTTTGGGCTCAAACTCTGAAACAAACAAAAAACCCCAAACAGCTTTCTGAGTCACAGGCAACGTGGTACACAGATTTAGACAAGTACTAGTCTGTAGTTGTGGGGAAGTTGGAGGTAAAGAAATCCCCTAGTCTTTCTCTGATTCTTGACTGAGAACTCTGGGTAAATGCAATAAAAAGTGCTTTAAAAAACAGAAAGACCAACTGCTATCTGCAGCTAAATACAAAGTAGATTTGGTGTATTTAAGTTTTTTGGTTTGGCTGGGTTTTTTTAACCTTTTTTTTTTTTGTTTGTTTTAGGTTTCTGGGATTTGCTACAATAGCAGTATATTAAAAGTTCATCGAATTCTTTGTGTACCCAGCTGGGTAGCAAAGATATTTTCTTGGACTCTTGAACCAATCTTCTCATCTGCGGAACCAACAAATGAAGTTCGAGTGGGAATGGGAGCAACAGTTGACATTCAGAGGCAGCAGAGAATGGAGTTACTGGATCGTCAAATCATGATGTCTCAGGTTGCCCAAATGAGGCGGCAAAGGCAGCAGCAGGTATTGATATACATTCTGTAAGGATTATATTAAGTTATGGGAAAAATACACTTTTGATTCGTATGCTTTTAGTGGCTCCTGTTTCTTAAAAATAATGCATTTCTTTATTCTTCTCTGTCAGTCTTTCGTACACTGTTATACTGCTACGTTTAAGTGTTTTATATAGCATTAAAAGTGCTTCACAAGATGTAAGCAGAATATCAGACAATCCTGTTAGGATATCAGTACTTCTGGCATTCTTTTACCAAAAATGAGGCTCAAAGGTAAAGTGATTGCCTGTCGGTGGTCCTTAGTAAGAGCCATTGTGGAAAGTTAGGAGGTCTGAGTATTTGTATTGTTAGCGTCCTTTTCAGTGAGGTTGAAAATTGTCTTTGTAACTCTTTTGTTTGTAGATGTACTTTGAATAAGGCTTGTTTCTTTTAAGAAAGTGCAGAAATTAAATTCTCTAACTTTCTTACAGAGGTCAACCACAGGGACTTTCTGTTTGCCACATTTAATGCTCTTGTTTTATTTCCTTATTGAATACAATAGCAGAGCCTGTTTATTTTCTCTGTTTTAGTCAAACCAGCAAATGCAGATGTTCACATACTTTGCATTGTAGGGCAGTAAAACAAGGCAGATTGTGTCTCAATTCACTTTTTTCCAGTATCTTAGATGTATGTGTTACTACTCTATCAAACCTAGCGGACAACACAGGCCTTGTGTTGCTCTATGTGAACATATATTGCTCATAATTTGATTGCAGCCTACCAGTTTGAGGTCTTTACTGAGTTTCCTCTGCCTGAAACACAGCTCTACTGATACACAAGTTCTCATTGTCTTCGAGGTAGTGTAGCACAAGTAGCTATAGCTACGCTACCATTAATACATTGCTAGAATTAGAGATGTGATAGCATAAAGCTTTGGCCAACAACTGAAGTATGCATCCTTGTTTCCAGTCCCTGCTAACATAATTCTCTTTTCCTTGATTTCTTAACTTTTCAATCTGATTCAATTGTTCCTCAGGTAGAAGATCCTAATCTCCTTTTCTCTATTCCCATTAGAACATTAATCAGTTTTAACATAAGAACTGAACTAGCAATTACTCAGTTCTTGAATGTTGCCGTTGCAATAGAAAATGAATTGAAAGTGTCTGTTGGGCTACAAGCTGCTGGGAAGAGTGCGCCCAAGTTTCTTCAGATAGGAGGAAGAAGCCATTTCCAGTTACGAAAGACAATCTTTATAATATATCTTTAATTGCAAAAAGTAGTAAATAAGTTCAGAACGGTAAATAATAAAAGAAGAGTTGATAACTTTTTCATCTCATCTTCTCCTTTCCTTAGGCTATGAACAATGAAAGTGGAAAACCATCTTTTCATGTTTGACTTCAAATAGAGTTCTTTAAAAAGGCGGAGGGGTTTAAGTAAAATAAATGAACATTGTTTGAACATCAGTAAGATGTTTCCCTTTACAAGTTGCTGAAACACTTTCAAGTTACCTTCATGTTTGGGCTTTAACTTGAGCGCAGTATTTAGTTAACTCATAGTGCTAATCTGTGAAACCAGTGATCGGAAGGCGATGAGCTCAATGTATGAACATTTCAGAGACATTTTTCAGAAAAGATGTGTCATGAAAGCTTTTGACCAGCCTTTTTTTTAATGACTCACGCACAGAATTTACTGGCCATCAACTAAATCATAAAAAGCATCATTCACAAATTTTGAGATATAGAGGTAAAAATGAGAAGCAGACTAATTTCCATCTCAGTATTTTAAAAATTTAAAACAGTTTTCCGGTTTGTGATACTCAGGCAATTGTTTTGCCTTTAGAGAATTGCAAAGGTATAATTTGAAGGCAGTGCAGTTGAACAGATCATGTTGCAGAATTTAGGTGATAATTTACCTGCCAGAGTGAAGCTGGTAAAGAATGCAGATCAGTTTCTTAGGGAGGGTTTTTTGTGAAACTGAAAATAATAAAAGCTGTGAAGTATGTATCAGTCATCAAATATGGCTTTGAATTATATTCTGGGAGAATGTTGTGCAGATTTCTGGATACCCAATATGCTGTCCATAGGTAATGTGCCATAGGTGAGACAACTTTATATTTTCTCTCCTGCTTTTATTTGACAAGGGAAATGAACTTTAACTTTCCTCTGTATCCTGTAGTGCAACAATTTTGTTTAGTTGCCTCTTGAGAAGGTGCTCTGCTCATTCCTCCCACTCCTTTACTCTTCAGTTCATCATTTGGGAAAACAGACAATGCAGTTTCCCTGCATGTTGGTAGCATATGGAAGAAGAACACAAGAACATGACAGGTGGTTTTAACGGTGCTCTATTGCCTGCACAATGTGGGAAACTTCTGGCCATAAGGAGGCCCTTTTCTTAAATAGATGCTTTTCATAGTAAGCTTATTCTTCAAGTCTGTGCGAGAAATTCTGAAGAATGTGAGCCTGATAAGTTTGGTGAGCTAACACAAAAAGAGTAAAAGTTTTTAAAAAATTTTTAAAAACCCAGGGAAAGTAACTGGAGAAAAAACATTTTTCATGAGTTGTTTTCACTGTAGTAAAACAAGACTTGGATACTGTAGTGTCCAAGATACTGGAATGTAAATAATTTTCTCTCTTTTATTTTTCTGCTCTTCAGTGAGCTTTTTTATCCAAAGCAGAATTAACTTTGGATGCTTTCTACGAAAAAAACCAAACAAACCAACCAACCAAACAAACAAACAAAAAAAAACCCCAACCACCTCCCCATAATTTCTTTGCTAACGACTCTTTGAGCTTTACCTTCCCCAGCCTTTCTCTAGCTGAAATGTGCTGGTCTGGAGGAGCCCGAAGCATAGAGGTGTGCGTGTGAGTGCTGGGTTGTTAGACACCCATAACTTCGAGGAGCAGATTGAGTATGTGGTAGAATTTGAACATGAACCACAAACTTCATTACTTGATGTACCTTATTTTAGCCCTTAAACGTTCAGTGGTACTGTGTCTGAATATGTTGTTAGAAACTGAAAAAATTATCTTACGTTGCTAGTTTCTTGGGTGTGTGGTTGCACGGTGACTGATTTTTGTCTTGGTTTTTAGTTGCCGTGGATACAGCCCTTAAACAGATGCTAGTGTACATATTGAAAACTTTCTGTTCTTTTTTTTTTCTTCCACGGACAATCCTGAGAAATGGTGAACTTACCACAAATGCAGAATTATTGAGCATCACCTCCATGCACCTTTTGAGGCAGTAGAATAAAATGGTGCCATATGTATTCATTCCCTCAAAAAATATCGGCTTGCTGTTTTGTTACTGCTTTTAAAACTGTAGTTTCTTTGTTCTTTTTTTTCCAACTCTTTCGTCTATCCTCTTTTCTAATTTAAATAATTCATCCAGTTTTGCTTTTTTTCCCATTAATCTGATTTCTTTTTCCCCTTCGTATCACTTTCATATTTTCATTGCCCACTATGCCATTTTCCTCCCACATTTTCATAATCTCTTCTCCTTCATCTCCATTGTTTCCCATACTTTTGCTCCTGTAAAAAATCCTTCTTTGCTTCGGGGGAAGTTCTCTCCCATTGTGTCTCACCACCAGTAATCATTTGCTGATGCATCATGAAGCTCATAGGATTTTAGGGATAGATGCCTCTTGCCTTTCTCTCATTGAGACAAGACGTAGTTCAGGTCTTTGGGTACTATATTATCCTTTTGATACTCTAGTATCAATGAACGTTTTTGGTCTTTCTCTCTTGAATTTTCTATTTCTTGATCTCTTTCATTTCCCAGCATTTTTCTAAAGTTTATGTTTCTGTAACCCAAATGAAAGCCCCACTGGGAAAAGGGAAGCAACTGCTGCATCTGTGCACCAGTGTGGTAGCAGGGAGTCAGCTTGACTTTCATTTCCTATTGAGAAACGTGGAGGGAGGCTGGCAGATAACCAAATTGCAAATAGATAAAGGAGGAGTTCATGCCTAGGTATTGTTGACAACACTGTTGTCACTAAAGACAGGTATGTGGAAGGTGGTGGGAAGTTGCAGAAAAGGTGGTCAGCGCCTTCTGTTGACAACTAAATACCACTTCTCCTTTGAGCACTCATCTGTGTGCCCATTCGGGGAGGGCGGGGGGGAAGGGGCTGTGTATGAACCTCAGACCCTTCATCTTTAAAAAGTGCTTTGTGTATCTGCAGGGCGTTTACTCCTTCATTTGTGCTGTGTTAAAGACACTGTATTGCCTGCTTCTTTGTTTCTCTTAAGTTTCTTGGCTCAGAAAAGAGCTTTACCAGGTTGCTCCAGAATGTGTGATGTCTACTGCCATATATGAAAATCTTCACTTTGTTACCTCTTTTCTGCCCCATCTTCCACTTTAAGCTTATTTTGTCTTTTCCCTCCTGTCTTTTTGTTCTGCGCTGCCATTACTTTTCAGTGAGGCCAGACTCTCTTTTGATTCATATCACATGGTATCTCTATATAAGATTTTTCTACTTGCAAAGACCAGACTGCTATAACAATGTGACTTCCTTTAATTGTTCATTCATTAGATGTCTTTCTCCTGGGACACTGGAGAGATGCTCTGTGAGTAGGCATACTGAGTGTCTTTATTGTTATGGGGAGGCTCATATCCTGAGAAATGTGCAAGTTTCATGTTTTGTCAACTAAGGACTGTGAGACTAGATTGCTGATTTACTTTCTGGTTATATCTAAGTGGTAAACTCCTGTCCTTGGGAAAAAAAAAATTAATGCGAAAACTTTGCTGGCACAAGAATTCCTCCTCAGGAATGTTATCCTCATTCATAATGGTAGAAAAAAAATCCCTCGGTGCATATGCTCCCAAGCAGTCCATTTCTGCCCTCTCAAAGAAGTTTAAGGACCAGACCTCAGCATTTTCTTTAGCTCTCCCACTAGCACTGAGAGATGCCACTTTGTCAAAGTCTTCTTGAATAATTTCAGAAGTTTGACTACCAGCAACAAGTCCTTCAAACAGACATTGTGAACCCTGAAGACCTTCTGCAACCTTTATACCTTGCTGGGTCCATATAAGCTC